GGGGGAGGCCAGCCTCCACACTGCCACTTACAAGCTGCAGCCCCCAAAGCAGCACCCCAGATGTGGGGTGCTCCCAGCACCTGTCTCCCTTGCCTGCCTCAGAGGTGCCTGCAGGGGCTGGTGAGGAGCAGGGCACCCAGCCTGACAGGGCAGCCACCCGCGCAAGGAAGGAGCCATGCACTGCAGTAGATGTTTATTTCAAGAAAACTGGAAGCTACACAGGGAATATGACTGTTATATTGACTTTTTAAAAAATACAGAAGTCACAGAAATTACACCAAGTTGTGCCAGAATTGTCTGTAACCAGAGGGGTGTGTGTGCGCACAGGGGAGGAAGGGGGAACCACATGCACACCACAGCAGTCCTGGGGGGGCTGCCCCATGGTGGTCCTCCCATCCCAAAGCACAAGCCCTCACATGCCCCTGCTTCACCCCTCAACGCACACACTGGAGCAGGAGCAGGAGGAAAGAGCCTGCAGCCAAGCAGCAACAGGGGAAAAAAGAAACACAAAAACCAGCTAAGTTGGAAAAAAAAACCACCCTAGGAACCCACCACAAGCAGCCAGGGAGCAATAGGACAGGGCCCATTGCAGCCATTTCAGTGGCCTGAGGTGACAGTCCTCTGGAGACCTGGGAGGAGCCAGGTGGCTGTGGACCAAGGAGCAGCATGTGCTGCCGCCCCCCAAAACGTGCAGCCCCCATTAGCGAGGCAGAGGCTCGGCTGACTGCACCAGCAAGGGGCCAGCCAGGCCTTCCCCAGCACCACCTCGCTTCGACCCAGTTTGCCAGCAGGAGCCAGGGCTGGGAGGAAGCAGAGCCAGGCAGCAGCAGAGGGGAGGGGAGGGAAGCAGCACAGGGCCAACCCTCACACCTGGGGGCCAGGTAGAGACACAGCCAGAGGGTGATGCTTCCCCCTCCCCTGCCCCCTCACCCCCCAGCAGAGGAGGGGGGCACGAAGGCACATGGTCTGGGGGGACACTGCAGGGAACACAGCCTGGCTGGTCCCAAGGGCACAGACCAAAGCAAAAGGATGATTTTACTCCTGAGAAACCCACAGAGGCAACAGTGGGATGGAACGAGAGAGAAAAAAGGGTGAGACACTGCTGGAGGGGCATCGCCCAGCACCAAGGCAGCCCCCACCCCATGCCTGGGCAGGCAGCGGACACTGCAGCAGAGCTGGGGCAAAGCTGCCCTGCTCAGGCTGCCCCAAACCTGGCAGAAACCTGTTATAAACCTCCAGCATCCCATCATCCACAGCTGCTCTCAGCACCAGCCCAGCCCCTGTCACTGACAGGCCCCACACAGGATTTTTGCCTTTTTTTTTTTTTAATGGATACAAAATAAAAGAGAAAGGAAACAAAGCAAGAGAGAAGATGACAAGACAGGAAAGAAGGGCAAGAAAACACGTAAGCCTCCAGCAGTGCCCATGGCCACTTCCCACTCCCAGGCAGGCCCTCCCGCTCCAGCTGAGCTCCCAGTGCCGAGGGGAGCAGTGCCCCATCTCCCCTCACAGTGGCGCGAGCCCACGGGCCCTGCAGAGCCATGGCCATGGCAGCAAGACACTCTTCCTCACATTTAACCGGGTCCTAGAGTCACAAAGTACTTCGCAGGAGTCCAGGTATGGGGAGGGGGGTGTTAAATGATCTTTTCCTTTTCTTTTAAAAAAGAAAAAAAAAAAAAAAGAGGAGGAGGGGAAGGTGGAGAAAAGCTTGGATCCCAAAGAGCAGCCAGGCTGCAGCCCGGCAGGGCGTCAGGGGGCTGTTTGCAGCATCAAGTTCCTCAGGAGTTTCTGGCGCCCGACCTCGTAATCCTCCTCGTCCACATTAACCAGCAGTTTGATGGCTTCATGGCCCACGGCTTGCTTGAGCGAGTCCGTGATGAAGACGCCCTTGAGGGCCTCCAGCAAAGAGCCGTTTATGTAGTCGCGCCAGAACGCATCGAGGTAGGTGAGCTCTGAGAACTTTATGTCACAGATGATAGAGCCCAGGTCCCGGGATTTTAAGATGGTGTTGGCCTGGTTGAAGCGCTCAAACTGGCGCTCCAAGGGGTCCTGCTTGTTGGAGAAGACGTTGCCTTGAAGCGCTGTTTCATGCTGGCAGTATTCGGCTCGGACTCGCAGGCGGATATCTGAGGGCAGAGGGAAGCAGGGAAAGGCAGTTAGCACTTTGATTGCAGCCCACGGCTCCATCCTGGCTCAACCCTCTCTCCTGGGAAGGGGAAACTCGGCAGAAGGGACCCCGTTCCCTTCCCTCACCCCAGACAGAGGACTGTTCCCTTGTGCTGGGAGCCACAGGCTGCAGTCACCCCACTCCACGCCAGCAAAGGGAGCTTAATGTACCCAGCTCTGCATGTTGGTGCTGAACTTGGGTGCCTGTTGCCAAGCTGAACCCATGAGGACACACACAGGGTGTAGGGCAGAGCTGGAGTGGAGAAAGCACATCCATCCAGAAGCCATCCGACTCATGCTGCCTCCGATGAGCTCTGGTTTGGGACGGATGCCCTGAATCAACGTTCAAGCCATGACCAACCCGGACGTTAGTCTTGCAGGTGGCCAGATGAAGTCCAAGCAAGCCCACCCTGGCCTTGCCAGCCTTCTCAGAGGCTCTTACCACAGGTCTGTTTCTCTTTAGGGTCCGGTGTCACTGACTTCCTCCTCTTACGCTGGCTGCTGAGAAGGGCTCTCCCACGGCCAGGCCTCTTGGTACATATCTGAGGTCCCGCAGAGGAACAGCAGACCACGGGGTGGTGGGGAGGCACTACTCGGAGAAAGGATGGGGGTTAGAGGCAGCAGAGCCGTCCCCACCATCCCTAGGTGCCAGGAGGTCCTGCAACCCCCGCCGCAGTTGCAGATGGTGCTGGGAACATCCTATAAGTGTCCAGAGACCAAGAGGCTGCTCTGTCTCCCACCACCACCTTGCCAGACCCTACCAAAGCTCCCAGGTGGCCATATACAGCTCTTTCCCCCGCCCCAATCACACTTTCCTTTCCACACTGCTGTCACCTCCTAGCTCTTCCCCCATCCCCAAAGACTTGGGCCAAGAGGCATTCAGCAGCCCCAGGAGAGCTGCCCACATACTCAGGGCAAGAATCCCTTTGCTCCAGCTCAGATGCCGGCATCTCTCCAGGGCAGGAGCAGAGAGGTGGTCCCCCAGGAGCTGCTGGGGATGTGGGCAGGGCCAGCGGCTGCCATCGCATCACAGGGATGTGCACACCCTCTTGTGGCAGGCCCCAGCACGCTTGGGATGCAGCTGGGCGCTAAATCTGCTGCTTGAAAGATGCACACATCAGGAAGGGGTACCATTCAGAGAAGTCCTCTGGTTTCAGAGAAAACTTTCAGTGCAATGTAAAGACCTGGGGATTAAGTTAAACCCAAAGACTGAACAGTCTCACTGCAGCACCATGGTTAAGGGAAGAGATGTCCAACTCCTCATTTGATCTTCCCCTAAAAAACAGGGCTTATTGTAGCAGACATCAGGTGTAACTTCAGCAATGACAGAACTGTCACTGCCAGCCACAGGTGAGAGGGCCCCCCCCGCTTTCAGTACTGCTAAAAGCACTGAGTGCTTTGCAGGAAAGGCAGACTCCCAGCCCTCCACCAGCAAGTGAGACAGGTAGTTACCACGTCACAGCAGCAAAAAAATATATATATAAAAAAATTAAAAAAATACAGCCTTCAACACAATGCAGCTTGATTTCACCTGGGACAACACTGGCCAACAAGCCACTTCCTTGGAAAAGTGTTTATCCCTAGTGACTATCTAGGCCAGGGACTTTGCTTTGCACATTCCCCTCCCAGGGGGTATTACTCATCCTTATTCCTGAGCACTCTGAATTTGCATTTGCCTTCAGGACACCCCACCTCCTGAGCAGCTCAGCACTTCATGGGCTGCTATGGCTCTGCACCCCCAAATCCCAGGGCAGGGCGAACCAGCAGGACAGCATCCCTCAGCCCAGCTGGGCTTTGCATCCCCCCCTCACTGGGCTGAAGTATTAGTATAAAAATTCATACGATAACTTCCACCTGGTAGAGGATGCTCCCTATTAATAGGAAAATCAGGGATTTCAGCCCAACACAAAGCAAGGGCTCTGGCCAGTTAGACAGTGAAGCGAGGGAGAACGTGGACAAACCCCAAGGCGAAAGTGGCAGTCAGGGCTGTGAGAAGTCCTACCTGCTCACGGCCAGACCCTGATGCCTGCCAGCAGACCTGAACACTCACCTGATTTGTGGGGGTGACCGAGACCATGCTCTGTGTCGCTGTGAGCTCGGGGTGTCACGTAACGAATAGACGTCTCTTCTAGGTACTTGTCTACGAGATCTGGACACACTAGAAGAGAGAACATTTTGCTCTTCAAAAAAGAAGCCAGAGGAGATCTGTCTTGACGTGGCAGATGCCAACGTGCGCTTAAACTGCTTTATCAAACTGCTGTGCAGTGAGAAACACTGCAGTTTCCCCTGCCCCATGAGCGACAGGGCCTCTGTAGGAATCAGCATTTGGGTCCTTCGCAAGCCTAAGAGGGAATTTATGGGTGTTTTGTTTAAAAAAAATAAAGTCAAAATTTTACAGAAGGTGATACCTTAAGGCTCTCAAGCACCCAGTGTTTCCTAGCCCTAATGATGACACTTGCTATCACAGAGATACTCCCTACGTTCCCCCAACAACCCAAGCTGCACGTCAAAAACTGCCATTTCTCAAACCAGTCCTCTTGGATGAGCCGCCTGCATTTTAGAGCAGAGCATTCAAAAAAAAAAAAAAAAAAACAGCAGCTTTGTGTAGGAGAGGCCATTTGCATTCATTACCATGGTTACTTGCAACATCCGGGCTCTGGAGAAAGCAAGAGCGGACTGCTCCCAACAGTGTCATACCACACACAACCCTCGGGGAAAAGCTTCCCCCCTCCCTGAGCAGGCAGCACGGTGGCCCCTGACAGCACTTTTCTGGCACCATAAGCGGCCACAACTTCCTCCAGCCCTCAGTCATTAATGCTCACCCCCGGCCCCTTCTCTCACATGGAGCTGTATGTACCTGGCAAGTGCCACCTAAGAGGAACCAGCTACAGGATTCCTTTTAAGCTGCCTACACAAGCTATCAAATTACACATTGATCTCCACGCTTGATTAAAGATCTATTAGAGTAGGTGAAATTCCTCTATGGCTTCACCTTTCCCTGCAGGCTGCTCACAGATGTCAGAGCTGGCCTGTAAGGGGGACAAGCTCCCTGACAACTTAATCGCTGCTGAAGGATTTGATTACTCAAAAAGCTTTCAAATAAACTTATTGAGACCCGATGTTATAAGAGGCTACATTATTTAAATGACTTCAGTAGATCAGACCTTTGAAATAACACGCTGAGGCAGGACACATTTGCTGCCAGAGTTTCGAGGAGAGTCAAACCTCTAAGCAGAAGCTGCCACTGAGCAAAGTTCACAGGGGGACCGAGTTGGTCTGAGAGTTGGGGAGAAGGCTGCTCCCCTGCCCCACGGACCTGCAGCGGCAGTCGCCACGCACTGGGGGAGACCACACTGAGCTAATTCAGGGACGGGGTTTCTCTGCTTTTCCGAGCTAAGAAGAACAAGACGTAAGAAGATGAGATCTACTAGCTGCAAGGTCTGGAAGGACGTGGTAACCAGAAACTGAGTCAGCTCATGAAGCCTAGAGGAGACTTCCTTTAACCAATCAATCTGTTCTTTTTAAATGCAAAACATGATACGTTATAAACCACATGTAAGATGCCTTATTTAATAAAGCTTTTTCAAGTGCTATTTTTGTGCATTTAATTAAACTATTTCCATCCAAACGCGGCTGGACAAATCAAGAACAAAATCTAACAAACAAGGAAGCATCGTTTCTCATAACACAGCAGCATATTAACACATGAATGCTAGTCTCCAACTCCCTAACTGCATAAATACAGCATACTCTCCCGGTAAGCAAGAAATAATACAGTTAGACCAACCATTTTGAACCCTCTTCAGGGGAAAGAAGTGCAAACAAAATTAAAATTAGCTGTTTAAATAAATCTACCTTAGACAGGAGATGAGGAAAGGATAGTTTCACACACTGGGAGTGTTTGTGAAATACTGCAAAGATGGAGCGTTTCGAATTTTCTTGTTTTAAAATCATTACCATGAAAACTTGTACATCTGACACGTGGAGGGATCACCTTGGTTTAGCTGACTGTGAAAGCAGTGAATTTCTCCCTTTGGTTTAGATTTTTTGAAACAAGTAAAGAAAGTTTCTCAAGAAACAGGAAAAATTCTGTAACATCCTCCAAACTGTACAGAAACCTAGAGATGCAAACTGACCTGAAAGAAGGTTCAGGTCATTTGCACCCCTTCACAGTGGATTACCACTTCCAGAAACATCGCTAAATTCCCCCACGCAGACACCCATGTGGCGGGTTTCTGTACAACGCATGCCCCTCCAGTTTGTATTTCAGCATGTTCAGTTTTTTTCCCCTCTAATTGTGTTGGCTTAGCAAAGAGGAAGCGAGTTGGCAGGTTACAGCAATGTCCAGACACCTCCCTGAGCATCACGCAGGACTGAGCAAAACTTCTCCTCTCTCAGAAAAGGCCAGGTGTCTTCAAGATATCTTTTCTATACGGCAGAAGTCCACCACATCAATACTAATTCTTCAGGGTGCTCCATCAGATGAGATTCTGAAGGGCACAAGAGCCTGGAAAACTTCCCAGGCTGACTTCTCCGAGGCTGAGTCTGCACAGGGCAGCAGAGCTCTTCTCCTACACACTCAGACTGCACAATCTCTCTAAAGTCTCTCAGAGCTGGAAGTTTCTAGTACCATTAAAAAGGCAATTAGGATGCCCTGCAAGGAGAAATGGCTAGTGACTAACATTGAACTGCCTGAGCATTTTATACCTGCACAGTCCAGCAACTGCCACCCAAAGGAGCAGTCCTGTCCCCTCCCCGATCCAAGCTACATGTTCCCAAGCCCACACCGCTCCCTCCGCTGTGCCGGCTCATGCATTTGAGCAACCATGCCCCTAAGTCTAGGGAAACGACCCTGGTTAAGGATTAACCTAGCACAAGACCTGGTTAATTTTCAAGCTGCCTTGGTTTTCTGATTGAGTTTTCCTTGGGGCAGGAGGGACACCACAGCCAGCACAAGGCCGAGTGCCGCACAGCACCATGCTTCTCATGACAACCCCGACTTAAAGGATTTGTTCAGCTCCAGCATTACCATCCCATTGCTTGTCCATGAGGCCCCCTCACTTCTCCTCCACGTGTCTCACCCCCAAACACAGGTTTTTATGCCTACCTATACTCATGTTTGTTGCTTTCCCAAACACTGGCAGCAAACATCTCCATTGCCCACAGTGTGGCTAGAAACTGAAGAGACTCAGCAGGCTAGAACTGCCAAGAAAGCACAATTATATTAATTTAAAAAGAAAATGCAAATTTCTGAAGTGCCTCCCTTACATCCCCTGCCACAACTGAACACTTCTTTTGCGACTGGAACGAGACTCCTTTCAATTCTGGTTAATCTGGATTAGGTTCCTCAAACTGCAAGCCAATGCTTTAGCCAAGAAAGGCATGGGGCCGAGCAGATGGAGGGCAGGAGCAAGTCAGCCGAGTCTGGCAGCTAGATGATTGCTTCAGTTTACAAAGTAACTGAAAGCCTACTGACCACCTTACCCAAACCTGAACGGCTGCGTCAGTGTTTAAACGGGTGTCGTTACTGAAGCATTTGTTACCCTCGTACAGTGGTGCATCTCGCAGTCAGGCTCAACAGAACACCACAAACTACCAAACGAGGAC